ATTTAAATCATCTTGGGAAATGGTGAACTTTGTCCCTGTTTCCCAAGTTCTTAGTCCACAACAAGGTTCAGTTTTTTAGACCATTAGTGAATTAATCCTGCTTGAAGTTTCAGGGAGCAGATGGACTACAGGCCGGATACAGTTTTGATCACTGAGTGATAAAGCTAGTTACTGTTTCAGAACATTCACATTGTTGGTGAAATAAATGGAACCTACCTCTAAATGACAAGCATCCATTGTGGGGCTAAACAGGAAACTTGCCCCAGGTAAACCACGTGAGTAAACTAGGACTAAAACTGTTTACAATTAATCCCTGGACCTTCTTGGGCAAGAACTTCACAAAATGCGTGTAGGTAAAACCATTTGTGGCAGACAGTGATTTTATATGTTTCCTCATATTTCAGCATTTCTCTTACAATATATTTTTAATATGGTTAAAATATTTTCAAGTCTTTTCCAATACGTTAGTCTACTTACAGCAAACCTATTCATGGAACTTGGCTCAACAGCCATTTGAGAGAACAACACAATGATTTTCAGGATGTGTTTGCTTATGTTCATAGTAGTTTTAAAAAGCAGGACAATATTCAAGTAATCCAAAGTATTATAAGCTCACTTTAAATATTTAATGGATTCGTTAAACTACATTTTGGGGTATGTAATCTGTAAATTAGGGAATACATTTTAAAAGTAACTCCCAACACTGATCTCGACAAATAGCAGAGATTGGTTAAAATGAAAAAAGTACTCTGTACTGTGAGCGACAAATCTAATGCTGCAAGGTCAGACTTTTTCCATGAAGTGAAACCGGCTGAATCAGGCAGATGCAGAACCAGGCCAAGATGCAGGTATTTTTGATCACTGCCTGTTATATAATAAAAGCTAGACAAGGCTGTGTGGCAGAACATTCCATGCAAAGCAAACACCTCCATGAGGACAAGCAGTAATAGCTAAAGTTACACAGTGAACTTTATGAGCAGTATTTTCACAGTGAGTATTATTTTTGCAAATACAATTCATCCTGGACCTTCTTGGGCAAGACACTTCAGCAATCTTGCGTGTGTGTATCCAGTTGTGGCAATCAGAGGACATTTTTATATACTAGGGTTATTCAAGTCTTCTACAATACGAATCGTCAGTATGTAAATGGTTTTATTTATTGTGATATATGGAAAGCTCATGATACGGTGGGGAGACTCACGATTAAAGAAGTAACAATATCCCTCACGTTCTGTATGATATTTCACGAATTCATCTCAGGGTACGATTTATAGTGATAATGGCAAACAATACTGTGTTCACTTCCTTTTAAATGCCTTGACAAGATAAAAAAACTAGCTTACAGGTATTTAGAACTGTTATTCATGTAGTCTACAGTGGGAGCAAAGATCGTGGTCTATGTAGTTCCCGCAGTCTTTTTTTAGCCATTGCACCGACTCTTCAGTTAAGCGATTGTAATTCTTATGTGTTTGACGTTACTTTATCGATCCGATATTTTTATTTTACGTATTTTTATGAATTTTGAATTTTGTGGAATTTGAGGTTGAGCTTCAAATATTGTAGAAAATGCGAATTGCCAAGTGAACACAAAACAACTGAAATATCCCTTAATAGCTTTATTTGGAAGATTTGCACTATAAACCATTTACTCTATAATATTCGTGCAGTGTACATCAGCTTCATTAAGGCTCCCACCTCGCCTTGACTAGTCAAAGTTTGCTGTTATAAAATGCACAGTAGAGAACATGCATAATTTAAAAATAAAACATTTTAGGGAACTGGAGTGGGGGAGGTACTGGGAGGAAGCCTGAGGGCCGCCCAGAACAAGATGGGGAGACTTCTGCTTTTCCTCAGAACGAGTGTGTCCCAGAACAGCCACACACACTGGAGTCATGGAGAAACAATGTCATCCTCCCTAAAAACTATTGTGGCACTGACACTGAGTCAAACCAAACTGTCCTGCCTTTCTATAATATTATTTGTATAATACTGAAAAAATACACCCTTTTTTCATTTGTTTATACTTCTAGGAATGCACTAAACAAGCACTTTGGAGACTTTTTGTATTAGTTTTGAAAATTGCAACAACTACTCTGCCTCTGCTGCTATACTTATATTTTCTATAGAAGCTAATTACATATAAACCTAATGTTCCCCTAATGTATTGGTAATTTCAAGGATATAGCAAGTCAGAAAGAAAGTTTTATTCCATTCAGTTCAATTCCATTTGCTTTTGTTTAGCCCCAAAACCACACCACTCACCTCACTTAGTTTATAAAGCAAAAGGGTTGATTTAACCAACAGAAAGTGAGAAAATCAAACTGTGAAACACTAGGGATGTAACAATAACCGAAATATCATGAAATCTTATCATCAAAGTTCTCATAACAATAAATGACGAGTTATGGTGCAGTAATACACGCATCAAAAATCTTGGACTTCTGGTCATCGTGCAATGCATACTGGGAAGGATTTTCCAAAAAAGTGAGCATCAAACCGCCATGTTTGTTTTCCCAGTGGGATGCGTCTATTGACAAAGCCGATCTTTTCAAGTCTTTTGAACCATATCACTTTTGTTTCTGGTTCTGATATTGTCATATTTTAGTCTTGGGATTCAGACATCGTAATTGTGTAGTTGTTGGATGTCCTAAGAGCGGAAAACGGCTCGAGAAGTTTGTTTGCGAACTCCATAAATGCAGAAGGGAATCAGACCTGTGTGACTGCAAAAATCTGTTCAAACTGTTTGCCTTGCTAACAGAATGAAAAAATAGTGAAAGTCGAAGGCGATGGGCAGTATTGATCCACAGAAAGGACAAAAAAGGTAACCTTTCACTGCCTAAGAAATCATCCCGAGTTTGCAGCGAACATTTTTGCATTTATGGAGTTCGCAAACAAATTTTTCAAGCCATTTTCCGCTGTTAGGATCCAACAACTACACAATTACGATGTCCGAATCCCAAAACTAAAATATGACAATATCAGAATCAGAAACAAAAGTGATATGGTTCAAAAGACTTGAAAAAGATCGGCTTTGTCAATAGACGCATCCCACTGGGAAAACAAACATGGCGGTTTGATGCTCACGTTTTTGGAAAATCCTTCCCAGTATGAATTGCACGATGACCAGAAGTCCAAGATTTTTGATGCGTGTATAGCTAAAAAAGGACAGAGGGAACTACAAAGACCATGATCCTTTGCTCCATTTCATTATAGACGACATGAAGAAATAACTAAGCACTTTTAAGTCTTAGTTCTAAGTTCTTTTAAGTCTTGTCAAGGTCTTGTCTTGTCAAGTTTTAGTTCGCCTCCACACAATATCGCAATAAATATCGTACCGTGAGATGTATATCGTGAAAACATCGTACCGAGAGATTTGGATATTGTTGCATCCCTAATCGTGAGCCTCCCCACCATATCTTGAACTTTCCCACGATATCGCAATAAATATCGTACCCTGAGGTTCATACTGTGATGATATCGTAACATGAGACTTGGATATCGTTACACTCCTATGACATACAGTCAATCACTGGTCAATGTCATGTCAATCACTTACCCACCTCCTGTTTATAGCAGACTTATTTTGTATTACTGTATTTCTATATTTTGTTTGTACTTACACATTTGTGCCTTACTTAACATCAGCTTCTTGCTATTTTTGCTACTTATTTTGACTTTTTATTGACATTTATATTGTCGCTTTGTTATTATAATATATTGTGATGTGTGAGCTACTGTGTCCAAATAATTTCCCTTGTGGATCAATAAAGTAGTAGTAGTTTTTTATCCGGTCATTTTGCAGCACTACAAAACAAAACAAAACAAAACAAAACATAGACTACAACCCCCTGGATCATGACCGAAACGGGTTTAGACTGAAGTAAAAAAGTACTTCTAATGCCAAACCCTTTTAAACAATGACAGAATTCCAAGAACGAAAGCAGCGTATGAACAGCAAGTTTGCATTTACAATTTCACTTACGACTTACTGTATATAAGAGACAAAATATAAATGAAAACGAACAAAAGTTAATGCATAATTCATTCATTCCAGAGCTCTATATCTTTGAAAACATAATGCTCTATACTTTTTTTTAAGTTCATATCTTCATTTTTTAAAGATGCTGGTTTTGTTTTCATTTATGGTTCCACAAAGTAATCATAATGATAAAGAAGGCACAAAATGTATCCTTTATGATCGTATCAAAATAAAAGGTAATGTTAAAGAAAAGCATGTGTTTAGTTAATAGTCGCGGTTTACCTGTGAAGACAATATATCCAGTTTTCTAAGTATTTCTGTAAGATAAAATTTTTTATTTTGTTTTTTGAAGTGCATCAAATCAGTACAAGCTTTGATATGGTCTTTTAAACAGTGTCCATAAGTCTACTCCACATCTGGTAACACATATGCAGGCTAAGTCTAGTCTAAAAGTCGAAATCTAGTCTAAGTCTAAGTTTAAAAGACAAGAAGATCTTTACATTTTAGCAAGATCATTTTATTTTTATCATTATTTTTGTGTTTATGACTCGTATTCAGCGTCCTTAAAATGAAAGATTTTACTTTGAACTGCTTGGATCATGCTGTGTTCAATCACTCATTATTTCTTTTGCTTTACTTCTGTTTGTCCAGCAGATGGCAGCATTTCCCTTCTAGTTTAACTCTTATCTGTTGATCCACTTTGTACCATGGATGAAAGAGGCAGTACTTTTAGCTGATAAAAACATTCCCAGACGTGTTTTTTCTCACATCACTGTGTCCCTTTTGAGAAATGCTTCTGATTGGTTGAAAGTCAAATCTGAGCAGTTTTTTTAGTATCAGTCTTTCCCTTATAAACGCTGCGATGATGAGAAAGTTGTATTCTTTTAACAGCAGCTTTCGAGAAAGGACAAAGGACTTACAAACGTGTACACTTGCTCAAGGAACGATAATACAGCTGGAAATTTATTGTAGCTAACTTTTTTATATTCTTATTTTACGATTTCTTTTAAAGCACCGTTACTTTTGGCGCAATGGCGAACTCCTGTCTCCAGCTGACCGGGTTTGTGCTGAGTTTTGTGGGCTGGCTGGGCATCGTGATAGCCACTGCCACCAACGATTGGGTCATTAATTGTAAATACGGACTTAACACGTGTAAGAAGATGGACGAGCTGGGCGCCAAAGGGCCGTGGGCAGACTGCGTGATCTCCACCGGGATCAACCACTGCGTGTTTCTTACGCAGCTGCTGGACCTGCCAGGTACGCACGGCCAACGACGATACAGGACCAGCAGGACAGGCTCAATGAAAGTTTTGACCAAATCTTATTAATGTGAAAGTATAATGAAAACAAATTACTTGGGAATTATACAACCGAGACAGAAATATTAATAACAGTAGGATTCTTCAAATATCTACCATACATAGTACTACTACTACTACTGCTGCTACTAATTACTTTAACCACTTGACTATCAATATCAGATTTGCACCTGAGATCAAAATATGACTATTTATTAATGGTTACAGTGGTTGATATTATGTATGATTATATAAATGTAAAGTACTTTGATCTAACCCAGACATGTCAAGCTCAGGACCGGGAGCCAAGTTTGGCCCTCGATACAGTTATATTTGGCCCGCGAGATCATATCAAATATGTATTACAGCTGGCCCACTGGCTACAGAGACATTATTTATTTATTTTTTATTTTATCATTATTATTATTTTTATTATTACACTTGTTCTGGATTCAGTGTTTAAGCAAAACTATTATTAAACATTTATTTTAATAAGAAAAGGTTTAACATTGTATATCTCAAAAGAAGAAAAAACTTGCAGATGTTGTTGAAATTTTTCAAGAAATATTTAGTCTGACCCACAACTGAGTCCCAGTTTTTAATTTTGGCTGCCACATCACAGCAATAGGTGTTTCCTCCTCATAATACATTATGTTGTCAATATTATCTTTTAAGAAAGATAGTAATAATATAATGCAGTGTAATATAATAAATATACACATTACAATATCTAAAACTAATTCTAATACTTTTCTGACAAACATTGTGATTCGATTTCCAATGTTTTATTAATAGGGCTCTGTTCAACTTCACATTTTAAACCCGATCTAGAAACTTAAACAGACTGAAAGTGGTTTAATGAACTGACAAACTAATACAAGAATCACATGCTTGTATTTCAGAACATGTTTGTATAGGGTTTGGTATTTTACTATCAAATATAACTAAGAATAAGAGTATTTTCTTTGTTGTTTTGTTTTGTTGTTTTTGGAAATTATGGTATTTCAGTTGCAGCCATTCAAATTTAGTTTCGATTGTGATTAATCTTGCAGCCCTGCCTGTAGTTAGATTCAAATAAAGTGAGTATTCGCCTGTAATTTTATTCTTGTTTGTGTTTTTCAGCGTACATCCAGACCACACGTGCCCTCATGATCACAGGGTCCATCTTGGGTCTGCCCGCCGTGGGGATCATCCTCATGTCTCTGCCCTGCATCAAACTCGGCAACGAACCCCAGAGCTCCAAAAACCAGCGCGCCATCATCGGAGGAGTCCTCATACTGATAGTCGGTCAGTACTACTACTGCTACTACTATTTCTATTACTACTGCCACAACTACTGCTACTACAACTACTTTACTCACCTATGCCTATCACTGAATGGTTAAAGAGTGGGTATTATGTAACTTTATGAACTTCCTATCATGTTATAATGTTGTTCCCTCATCAAGAACATGCCCGGAGTGTTTGTTATTATACAGTATGTCTTCCAAGCATATTTGAATAATTTAGTGGTTAGCAGTATGAGCCTGTCCAAGGAGTGTAACTCATGCACCCACATGGCCATTTGTCATAAATATACACATCAGGATACAAAACAATACACTACAACTTCACAAACCTGATGCGATGTGCAGTAGTTTTATTAGCGGAATGTACTGTGACTGGAGTGAGCAAAGGGAGAGCGTAAAAACGAAACTGAAACGAACTAATTCAACATTTAATATAATGTTTTAGTGAATAAAAGGTAATGTGATGATCTAAATATGTTATGTGTTAAAAATGAATACCCCACACAAGTGTAATATCGTCTCTTTAATGAAGAATGGGACAAAGTTGAGTGTCTGTTCACACTAAACTGAGATTAAATTCAAAACTAAACCAGGACTAGAACAGAACCAAACCAAAGGCCATATCTTGTCTAAACTGGGCTCAAACTAAGACCCAAAAGTCCTGATGTGGACTTTGGTTCTGTTCTAGTCCTTATTCAGATTCAGATTTAGTCCTTTTTGTATGTGTACGGTAGTAATAGAGTACATTCAAATTTTCCTTCTATTTTTCTTCAATTACTACTACTAATACTACTAATACTACTAGTACTACTTCTGCATCTCTCAAAAAGTTTGAGACATATTGGATTTCAGACCGGTAGTAGTGGTAGATAGTGTTAGCACAGGTGTTGTTATTTCATGTCCCAACCTGATCCCCATGACATTGACCCCCCGTGACCCCAAATGAGAAGCAGCTGACGGGTGAGGATGTCCAAAATGGCCGCCTTCCTTCCCTGACAAAGATGCCTTGACACAGAGACCCTCGCGCATTCCTGCCCCCTCCTAAACCGTCCACACCCTAGTGGTCAAGTCCGTCGGCATGGAAACTCACTCAGCTGACCCCTTTACTGTGTTATAAACGCTGCTTTTTCCACTGTTTTTGTCAGATGAAAAACCAAACACCTGTGTCCAGTTCTTTATTTTTCCATCGGCTGCTGTTGACTTTAATAGCACGGATCTTTCCAATTCAAACAGGGAATAGCTTTCTGTCTAGTGTGAACAACAGCAATGGGCTTACTGTAAAATGGAAGTTTAATACCAAGTCTGGTGAATGGATGGTGAAAATGTCTCTTTCTGCCTTTTCGATCAGTAAATTTTCTGTCAATATAACACATTGTCAATAATAGTTTTCCACTACATACATAGGGATGCACCGTTAGGATACTGGTATCATATATTGAACATTTTGGTGAATCAGATATCGATCTCAAGATATTGGTTCAGATGATATGTAGCTGAAAACTACCACTATATGACATTACAAAGTTAAACAGAGCATTTTGAGTGTTGGAGATGTAGACAAATGTAGTGTGAAAGAAAAAAAACACAATTCCAGTTTTTTTTTGATGAGCTAAGAACGTTCAATCTAACCTGTCTTAAAACCATAGACTGTATAAAGAAGTGGACTAAGCGAGTGTGACGTCATCCATTGCGTTCAGCTCCACTCAGATGAAGTTATCAAACAGTTATTGGAGCGAATATGGAGCAAAAGACAAAATAGCAAAATATAAACACCAGGATCATGTAGAGTGGGTCAATGTGAACATTTTAAGACCAAAATGGCAAGGCTCACTGCAGCAGTTACAGAGCGAGGGGCCTCAATATTCATATGTAAAGCAATGGGAGCCGGAAGTGCCCATATATGAACTTCCTACGTCCATTTATATACAGTCTATGCTTAACAGAGCTTAACATTGCACAAGAGTCAATTTTGTGTAATATAGGAACTTTAATTTACTTAAACACTTTATATTAACCCTCCTCTGCTCTACAGGGGCGTGTGGGCTGATCTCCACAATCTGGTTCCCCATCGGCGCGTACCAGGAGCAGGCTCTGATGGCGTTTGGCTTCTCCCTGTACGCGGGCTGGTTCGGGACCATCTTCGTCCTGATAGGGGGGTTCATGCTGGCCTGCTGTTCCTCCGAGTCCCACCCACGTGCCTACCAGGACAACAACAGATTCTACTACTCCAAAAACGGAAGCAGCACCGTCCCAGCACCCACATCCGCCAATCACGCCAAGAGCGCACATGTCTAATTGGACTTTAAGTACTGAGTTGTTATGCAGAAATACTTTCTCCAACTTTTTTACAGTTCAGAAGATGTATTTGGCATTTCAAAGTACAAGAACCAAAGGACTTTCTACCACTGGATTTATTCAACGCGAAATAAATAAGGCTATGTCAGTGTATTGCAAAAACATGAATCTACTTGGGGCTATCCATGAAAAATTTGGACTGTTACCATAGAAAATATCACTTTAAAACTACTAATTATATATTTTAATTGGGAAAAGTCTTCAAATCATCTAGCAGGATTAAACCAGGTCTTAACCAGGTTTAAACAACATCTGAACCAACTGGACAAAACCCAGTGTAAACCAGCATCAAATGAGAAGAAATCCTGTGCCGAGCTCAGATCCCGGACCAAGACTAAACCAGGTCTAAACAAGGACTGAATCCAGGACTAAACAAGGATTTGTCCCAACGAAAGCTTTGAAGAGGCCCACTAAGAAAGAAATTAGCAATAATAATGTAGACTACCCTTGACTTTAACCCTGGATCCATAGACCAGACCACTCTTTTTTGATTTTATGGCTTTTATATAAAGATCTTGAACAACGACAAGAATAAAAGTAGTTACAATGTTGGGCTAGGTTCAGCTTCTGCTCCGGTTATCAAAGATTTTAAATACAGTGGGGGCCTTACTGATATTAAGTTTATTAAGTACACAAGACAGATGTATTTTAATAACATTCAATTCTGATTGGACTATAATACGCACTGTGTAGTGATTCTAAAATGTTTTCTACAACTTTTCGGCAGTTCAGAAGATATTATATTTGGCATTTCAAAGTAGAAAAATGAAAGCAAAAACATGGACGTTCTACCACAAGATTCAGTAAACAATAACTTCCACTTGGGACTGTCCATGGGTTTCAGGATGATGAAAAATATATATCAAAATATGATATCTTTTCAGTGGGGAAAGTTTTAAAATGGTGCATGTAACAGGAATCTGAAACCCACGAATAGTGGGATTAAACCAGGTCTAAACAAGGTCTGAATCAACTGGACTGAACCCAGTGTAAACCAGCGCCACATGAGATGAAATCCTGTGTCTACATCAGGTCCAGACCAAGAATAAACCAGTCTAAACAGGACTAAACCAGGTCTAAACCAGGTCTAAACCAGGTCTAAACCAGGACTAAACCAGGTCTAAACCAGGTCTAAATCAGGTCTAAACCAGGTCTAAACCAGAACTAAACCAGGTCTAAACCAGGTCTAAACCAGGTCTAAACCAGGTCTAAACCAGGAACTAAACCAGGTCTAAACCAGGTCTAAACCAGTTCTAAACCAGGTCTAAACCAGGACTAAACCAGGTCTAAACCAGGTCTAAACCAGGTCTAAACCAGGTCTAAACCAGGTCTAAACCAGGTCTAAACCAGGTCTAAACCAGGTCTAAACCAGAACTAAACCAGGTCTAAAACAGGTCTAAACCAGGTCTAAACCAGGTCTAAACCAGAACTAAACCAGGTCTAAACCAGGTCTAAACCAGGACTAAACCGGGTCTAAACCAGGACTAAACCAGGTCTTAACCAGGTCTTAACCAACTGGACTAAATCTTATTTAAACCAGCACCGCATGAAATGAAATCCTGTGTCTACATCAGGTTCAGACCAAGACTAAACCAGGTCTAAACAAGGACTAAACCAGGTCTAAACCAGTTCAAAACCAGGTCTAAACCAACTGGACTAAACCAATATAAACCAGCACCAAATGAGAAGAAATCTTGTGTCTACATCAGATCCAGACCAAGACAAAACCAGGTCTAAACAAGAACAAAACCAGATCTCAACCAGGACTTGTCCCAACTAAAGCGCTAAAGAAGCCCACTAAGAAATACTCCAGATATAACCAGGTCTTAACCAGGTCAAAACCAGGTCTAAACCAGGTCTGAACCAACTGGATTAAACCAGTATAAACCAGCACCACATGAGAAGAAGTCCTGTGTCTACATCAGCTCCGGACAAAGACTAAACCAGATCTAAACAAGGACTAAACCCAGGATTAAACCAGATCTCAACCACCAGACTAAAGACTGAAACCAGACTAAAGCAACTAAAGACTTAAACAGGCAATTCAACCAGCTCTTGTCCCAACTAAAGCACTGAAGAAGCCCACGGCAAAACTGCAAAACTTATCATCCTTCATTGTCACCGAATACCTTTTTTTTTTTTCTTACAACAGAACAATTTCATTTCAAGACTGTTCCTTCTTTGATAGACTGCCCTCTCAGACACGTAGGTCTTGGGAAAACCGTCTGCTGTTAGACATTTTTATGATAATTTTTACGTTTTGTGATTACTTTTTGATATATTTTGCTATTTTCCATGTTTTATTGTAATGAAGAATCCTCCGAGTCTCAAGTCCATTCAGCTTTTTGAATAATAGGCTTCATTAAAGGCGTTGCACTGTTTTCCTTTGAGATGAGCCAAACATATTTCAAAATAAAAGTCTTTCTGCGATATATGTACAGGGTGTAATGTAATATAATGGAGTCTAGGCCACACACTGACCTATAGTACTGTATCATTAGGTGTAAAATGCTTCTCTTCAGTTCATGGTTGAAACAGCGTTAATGTAAGTTTATGACAGACAGTTATGTAATATGTACGTTTTTTACAGTCCAAACTTTTTTTTTTGCTTTATTAACACATCAAGTTGTACTGTCTATTGTTTAATGTTGTTTATTGTTTTTAGTTTTGTTATTTTTTCTTCGTTATAATGGTTTGCGGTGGTTTACAATATCAGATATACGTGAAGATATAATTTCCAAAACTATAAGCAAGCAGTCTTTTAATAAAGGCAGTTTACATGTTCAAATATTACTGCATATTTTATTAAATATGCAGTACCTTCTCATAAGGCATAGTAAATAAACTACACAAATTGTATGACAGTACTTTGAATACTTTAAGGATGAAATGTCCATGGTGTAAAGGTTCATCAACAAACATGGTAAAAAGAATCAGTTTTTAGTAGTTTTTGTGAGTCTGGATTCAGAATGAAATATATCATGTGTTATTTTGTATTGTGATGGCTAAAAACACAGTATTGTTTAATGATCATTCCTACTCTGTACACTGAACTGATGAAAACTGTAATCAATATTATACATTTCTGAGTCATGGTCCTCCTCGTCGGCCTACAGACTGTGTTTGGACACAGATAGTATCTGTGCATTACATCACTTGTATGTGTCATCTTCTCCTCCTGAGTCACCCACAGCTGTCTTATCGCTTTTATTTATTGTACTGTTGATTTTCTACAATAAACAATTACAGTGAACACAGATTGTTTGCTATTTGTATCATTTACATTTTTTCAGGAATAGCTCCAGGAACATAATAGTGCTGGGGTGTCAAACTTCACAGAGGCCAAAATTAAAAACTAGGACTATGTCGTGGGCCAAACAAAATATTTACTGTAAAATTTCAACAACATCTGCATGTTTTCTCTTATTTCAAGATGTGTAATGTTAAACCTTTTCTTATTAAAATAAATGTTTAATAATAGTTTTGCTTAAACATTGAATCCAGAATAAGCATGATATAAAATAATAACACATTTTTAAATAAATAAGTAATGTCTCTATAGTCTATCTATGTGTATCTGTAGCCAGTGGGCCAGCTCTAATGCATATTTGATATGATCTCACAGGCCATATATAATTATATTGTGGGCCAAATTTGGCTCCCGGCCCTGAGTTTGACATGTCTGTATTTGCGAATCTTTAGTACATTTAATTGGATTCTGTACCATTTCAAAATACAGATGAAGATACCAACTTAACTCAGTAAATAAAACATGACAAATACTTTTTTGTAATTGTCAATAAATATGAGCAGTTTTAGCCGTTTTTGTACACACAATACCTTTTTCAAATATTTTTCAATATTTAAAACATTATTAAAAAAACAAAGGAATACATATTTTCTTTAACGTTTTGTTTAATATTTGTTTCTGCTGTTTTTTGTGCATGTCCTTGCTTCGATTAATAGTGAAATGTTTGCGTTCCCACTGCTTTAAGGGAACCGTCTGTGGAGTGGACAAACAGAAAGCAGGCTGCTGTGTGTTTTTACAGTGTATCAGATCTGTGTGACCTTGAGAGACCAAAACAGAAGAATGTGTCCCAGAAAAGCCACACACTGTACCTCCCTCTCTCTGAACAAGCACATCACACAGGGAAACAGACGGAGGGAGGGAGAGGAACAGGGAGGGAGGACGAAGAGAAGGAGGGGGAGGAGAGAGAGAGTAAATGTGTCTGATAAATCTTAACTCATCCGAGAAATACAGTGAGTAATATCTAAAAACATATGCGATAGGCACAAATACATGCTGTACTATCAGATTGTGTTTTGTTTATCTCACAGACAACGATGCAAGATCAGCGTCTGCTTCCGGATCTGAGAATTTTGGAAAACCTCATTAAAGTACCCATTTGTAATCATAGTAAAACATTATACTTCTTCAGAATGAGCTGAAGAACTAAACAAAGCTTTGATTTTCAACTCCATAAACACAACTACTGCTGTGTGAGTATTATTGCATGACTTCTCAGTATAGTTTTGCCTGAGAATGTAGCTGTGATGCCAATGCCCCCTCCCCAAAGCCCCTTGAGGTGTACAGTAACATAACATAACATAACATAACCGTCAAACAGACAAATAGATCCACTTCTAGTTACAAGTTGTTGTTTTTTTTTTTTGTCTGTTGTTTTTTTGCAGTGTATTTAGGGCAGAGGTGGGACCAAGTCATTGTTTTGCAAGTCTCAAGTAAGTCTCAAGTCTTTGACCTCAAGTCCGAGTCAAGTCCCAAGTCAAATACAGGCAAGTCCAAGTCAAGTCTCCAGTCATTGGCCCATAAGTCCAAGTCATCTGCTTTGATCTTCAAGTCATTTTAAGCCATCATAAATCATAGTATATTTATATATGAGTATTTATAGTATGTAAGAGTTGTAGTAAAGTAAATTTTTCCTTTTAAATGTCTTGACAAGATCTTAGTGTGAATCATTACACTCAGAATAGAAAGAATTCAGATTTAAAAGTGCTTCTCAAGTCTTCTCAAGTCACAGACCTCAAGACCGAGTAAAGTCCCAAGTCACTGATCTTCAAGTCCAAGTCTAGTCCCAAGTCTTAGTCCATTTTATCAAGTCAAGTCTCAAGTCCTAAAAATAGTGACTCAAGTCCTGACTCGAGTCCAAGTCACGGCTTGCAAGTCCCCACCTCTGATTTGGGGTAATTCATCTTTTACAAATACTACATTATTACTACTATCTTACATAATGAGCTATAGGATAAAATAAATAAATAAATAAATACACTGAGAAGATTTTAACGATGTGTGTTGTGATGTGTCCCTGTGAAAATGTATGATGTGAAAAAATAGTATTCATTGAGAATTTTTAACAGATAAATATATATAAATTAAATATATAAATCTTTCCAGTACTGTCCAATCTGTCTTCTATTATATTTGGATGACCACTATCCTGGATGAGCCGCCCTCTGTCCCTTCAACCTGGGGGGGAGGTCTGGCCCTTATATGCAAATGGATGCTTGTTAGTCCAGGACAAATCTGCAGCCATGTCCGTCCATCCACAATCTCTCCATCATTATGGTTCTTCTCGAGAGTTCTCTTTTTCCTACTGTGTTCTTTTTTTTTTCTTTTTAAGTTTTTCCTTGCCGACAAGGAGAGTATAAGGACAGGGGATGCTCTGGGCTCGGTTGTTCATCTGTCATTTGTTCATCATCATGTCATTTGTTTTTGACCGATGTTTGTTTCACTATTGAATTTTCGTTCTCTTGGTTAAATCCTTAGTTCACTACTACACATCCACAGCTCCAGACGCACACTGCGCTCCAACAGATACATAACCTGGTCGTTCCTAAAGCCCGCACAGCTTTGGACCTCTCCTCATTTCAGTTTTCTGCAGCAAGAGACTGGAACCACCTTCAACAGACTTTAAAACTAAGTTCATTTTTACTTCTGTCTACTTTAAAAAAAAACTCCATCCAGAGTATTTTACAGGATAATTG